GGATCAATACCTCCAACCGCGGACCCCGCTAGCTAAATCACTGTGCACTTTTCGTAAATGGCAGGAATGTATGGATGCTATTGTCGCTCTTTTAGCTGATATCCCGGCGCATGGGCGACAGGCAGCTAGTCGTTTGTTGCCTCTGAGTGTAGAATCTAGGGAAGCGATGGTGCCCTCCATTGAGTCGGTTACCCAAACCCTGGTGTCGAGGCTTGGTTGGAGATGGGGTGTAGGGCCTCCAATCAGATTTCAGGATTTATCCGTTAAATTAGCGACTAATATGCAACTTTCACCATTTTCTATGGCTCGCCGTGTGGCCCACACCCTCTTCATCAAAGAGGCGACGGGCTCTTCTGAGGTACTGGAAGAAGATATTCTTAATTTGCAACGGACATTCCATCGTTTATGGTTTCATTTACGATGGGAAAATGAACAAAAAGAGGTTTGGTGGCGTCTCACGGTTGATGGGGTGCCTATGTTAGGAAGTTCCCATCTCAGGATGTCGTGGCCAACAGTATGTGGTTGTGGAGGTTATCCAGTAGGTTCAGTGGGAGGTGTATCCCCTCGCTGTCATCACTTCTGGGCTTGTCCGGTGGCACAGGCAGTAGCAGATCAACTCACTCTTTCAATAGGATTGCCAGTCTCAAGGGAGCAACTTTGGCTTGTCCAAGCCCCACAAACAGTGCAACAATGTGTTTGGGATGTCGTGGCTCTTGCTGCGGTGTCAGCCATGGAGCATGGGAGACGATATATGGCTGCAACCATGAAAACCAACCCGGCACTGTTACCTGGCCCTTCCCTTACGGAAGGAGCCATTTGTCGAGTTATTGTTGACTTTTGGGGCCGCCTTCAGGGTTTCGCAGCTCTGGGAATTCCACGGAAAGGTTGGGATTCTGTTGGCGCACATCACCCCTTCTTGAGAATTAAATCAGGCAAATTGCTATGCTCACGGGAGCGATCACCGATGAACGGTTAGTTATCTGGGTGATGGTCTAATTTGTATATTAGTCTCTACTGCAGTGCACGGCCAGCTGGCCCGATGGCTCTACTCTTCGGGAGTCTGGAGCCCACTGTAACAACCACACACAAAGTAATGACTTAAATAGTCACCCAGAGCCTAGCTGGCTCCCAAAAATGTCGTACATTATCTCTAATCCATACGCGTGTCCACGAGTCTAGTTAACTACTCAACAACTAACAAGAAAACCTAATAGTAAGCAAGCCGTATTGCAAAATCTATTAATTAATCTACTACAAATTGCGCTGGACAATTTTAGATAGCAGACCTTTGTGTCAGGTTCTGTTAGAACGTTATCAGCGCAGGGTCACGGATTACACGGACCTGTAGTCCGTGACCACTAGAGACTGCGTGGTGCGGCGGACTAGAGACGGATTGCTGCATTAGAGACGGATTGCTGCACTAGAGACGGATTGCTGTGGCCGATTCCCACCTGTAGGCGATGTTATTGGCGCATGCAGACGAGGACGGGATGACAAACATCGATGCAGTCGCATGCGTACATAAACTGTTCACAGCTCGGCTACTTCGATACAAAGCGCGCGTTGACATGCACGGTGATGTGAAGTGCGTGTACATGGGGAGTCGTGTGGGGAGGTGCGGGGTTGGGTTATACGCTTGTTTGTGCTCACGATGGGCCGGGGTGTAATGCTGTTCGTCTGTCTATCTTTGAAAAGCTGTACTGCAATGGTGATGAACGGTGCAAGTCGGTGCTGTGATTGCACTACCGCAGCGCAGGGCGGCGCCGGCAAGCTATCGACCTCGGTTGCTGGATGTGAGCGGAAGTGATGATTGTGGATGTATGAGTATGGGTGACCTGCGGTCAATGCCAGGTGGCCCAAGGTACGGCCGGTGTACCTGTCGGTGGGCGAACATAAATATTAACATTTTTAAACCTGAAAAGCGCTCCCGTCAGCTGTCGCCATCAGTTGATCGTCATGTCCATGCGTCCAGCGGGCTTTCACAAAATGTATCTGGATGCCAGTCAACTTACAACCAAATGAATATAGGAGGACATGAAACGGTATTTAATTACATGTTACTTTTCAGTCAGATGCGCGCGCGGGGCCCCACTCCTGGCAGCTAGATGAGGCGTCGGGACAGCTAGATGAGGCTGATCGATCAGCCGTCATGACGGGGGTTGTCAGGCGGTCAAGATGAGGCTCGGGGCTCAGCTAGATGAGACAAGGGGGGGCCCCCGCGATATCTAGATACCATGTGAACTTAGTTAGATATTGTTTCCTCATACTTAAATGAGCGCGGAAGGCAGATGCCGGCCAGGACCCCAACCCCAGATGACAGATGACGAACCCTGGGTGATACCCTCCTGTTTTGTAAGGGTCTGGGAGGCCCGGTACGTTGCTCTGAGGCGCTTCGTGCTCAAGCGGACGAGGGAGGACGATGATGGTCCACCACGTAACCGTGCTAAAAACGATTTACCGTCCATGTATCCCCCGGCTTTTACCGACAATCCTGGACTTGTGCGGAACTTGTAACTTGTAAGGGTGGATGTAACGAGCATGAGCTGTTACATTGCTCTCACTAACTTATTCGTTACTACTTGCCTGTGTAATTCGCTATTCGACATCGGGCCCTCGCTTTATCTGTTGCGTTTTGCCGTAATTTCGAAATTACGAATTCGTCGGTGAACAATCGATATGACGGCTCACTACCCATCAATCGGGTCTTCCGTCCCCATCAGTACAGTGGAGGTAGGGCTCCCATAATCAGGCTCGAATATAACAATGGAACTCTCACCTGGAAACATCTTCACGAGGCAAAGCGAGCGCTACAGTCCTATTACCTGCGATGACTTAGGATAAGCTTCTAGAATGCGGACAAGTGGGAAAGGGCATTACAGGTCGAATGCCTGTCATATCCCGTGTTGACGGCTGTGTTTTTCCAGGGTCTATTGCCCGTGCCCGCATACCAAGCCTTAAGCGACCACGTTCTCATGGTGACATTGGCTATCCAAATCAACTACCTCCATACTCTCAATCCTTCTCACAAGCCAGACCGCAGCACTGCATGCCGGTAGGCACATAGGTACCGCACCCTGCAGCCATGTCACCCGCCGATCCGCCCGGCGCCCCGTGCACGTGCACAGCGCTAAAATCTGTTCCCAGCAAAACCTCTTCTTTTCTTATCGTAACTTATCGTAACCTTATCACAACTTATCGTCAGGTGGCTGTGATGTTGGATTTGAGTGAAGAAAGGAATTCTTCTTCTATTCTGTAATTCATGATAAGATGACGACATCGTGATCAAAGACGACCCATCCCACACCCATGCGCATGTGATTAATGGATGGTGAGGCTGGCACGTGTATTGTTGGGCTTGGGTCGTCAACCTTGTGATTCGAGCGTTACTCAGGGCATCCGACTGCAACTGAGCATCCGCATTGTAGGCGTTATTCATCGGCCGCCACCACATGCCTCCGTACTGTTTGACTTAAACTTTTTTGTAAGAGCCGATAAATAGGAATCCAAATTAACTGTTGTCCATGAGTCTCGATCCTCGCTTGCTTCCACCCCCATCTATGTGCGATAGCTGCTGGACTGCTTCCCGATGATACCATGACAACACACTATGCCAAAAACAATCTGCCACCGGGTGCTGGTAAATAACTGCACATAATTAGGGTACAAATGAAACGCTAGGTGGAGGAACAGCGTAACACGATTGGGGCAGGTGCGATAAGTAATAATGACAAAAAGAGTACACAGGCTGTAGCTTGGGGCCTATCTAGGAATGGGGGCGACCTCACGGCCATTCCTCTATGTGTGTGTGGTGTTAGGTATGTTACAGTGGGCTCCAGACTCACGAAGAGTAGAGCCAGCGGGCCAGGCACTGGCCGTGCACTGCACCTGAGACGATCAGGGCAAACAAGACACCCATCCAGACCACCAGACAACGCATGTCACCTAGATAGACAGCAGAAGGCGAGCCCATAGGGAAGAAGGCTCAAAAACCCACAACCCACGGGGGAATTCCATTAGGCTCCCCAATTGGCGAGAGTCCTCGGACCCCCACTAGAAGGCCAACCAACTACCAATACTGGAACTTGCACGTTGGGTTACTAGATGAGGCCTATGCCCCAAAAGCCCCCCAAATGAAAGAATCCGAAACAAAGAATTGGATCAGGTTGTAGCTAATCGTCCATCGGTGGCCGCTCGCGTGAACATAACAACTTGTCTGATAGAATTCGCAAGGAGGGATGATGTGATCCAACAGAATCCCATCCTTTCCGTGAAACTTTCAGAGCTGCAAAACCCCTGTGGCGGCCCCAAAAATCAACAACTCGATTAATGGCTCCTTCTGTAAGGCAAAGGACGGGTATCAGTGCCGGGTCGGTGCTCATGGCAGCAGTCATATATCGTATGTAGCAGCTGACCGCTGAAAAGGTCTCTCGAGTTGCTGGCGGTCGCGCTCTGCGCGTATTTATAGCACCGTACTGTGTACTGGCTGCTACATTCCCCCCCCTTTGAAGGGAACCGTCCCGGGCCCTTAGAGCCTCGTATACCGCCAGCCTGTGCCTACCTTCGCCTACCCTCGGGCAGTGGGGTGGCCAAGCCCACGTCGCGTCATGCCGCCCTTCATGCGCCTAGCCTTCAGGTTTTTCAGGCACAGAGACAATCCAGTCGGTTCAGCTACTTTTATAGTTTTTGTGCGATATTCGCTCACTGAGTCGCCACACCCGAAATACCACTCGAACGTGATCGGTGGGGGTTGAACCGACGACTTCAGGACCGTGATTTTTCACGAGGTCTCGATACCAAATGTAGCAGCTGACCGCTGAAAAGGTCTCTCGAGTTGCTGGTGGTCGCGCTTTGCGCGTATTTATAGCACCGTACTGTGTACTGGCTGCTACATCGTCCCCGTGCTAGTGCTCCATAGCTAACACGGCAGCAAGAGCCACAACATCCCAAACACAGTGCTGCACGTTTTGTGGAGCTTGGACAAGCCCAAGTTGCTCGCGCGGCACTGGCAATCCTGTTGACAGAGTTAGTGGGTCCGTTACTGCCTGTGCCGCTGGACAGGCCCAGAGGTGATGACAGCGAGGGGGTCGCCTTCAGTGAGGGAACTTCCCTCGTAGTATTGAATACCCCTCAGTGAACCAACTGCAAACTGCATTCCTGCGCTAATTTTAGGGTCATCACGCGCGATCGCACACCACATGTCCACAACTTAACAATGATGGCAAGACAAACATCAGCTCCGTCTATTACTGCGCTTACGTCTGCGAAATAGTAACGCCTCTCAAAGACACGCAACTGCCTATCAGGTAGAACGAACAAATACGTACTCGTTATCGCGATGCGATTACTCGTAAAATGGCTTGCGTTTTCGGTGCTGCTGGTTAATCGTCTAAAACAGGGAAAATCCTAGAACTTTGATCTTATTGCTCTCTCGATTTGTGGCTCGGATGGTGAAGTCGAGGATCAAGCAGGTTCTATCATCCCGGGGCTGCGGTAGCTGGAATTTGAACACCTCGATTTTTGCTAGAGACACCGGCTCAGACCACAAGCAATCAACCGTATGAGATCCCAGTACGGAATCCGGTAAATCGCCTCTTGCGCAAGAAGTCCCGTCGCGTCCAGCCACTCCTCTGAAAATTGTGACGGCGACGGTGCCCATATGCATGTACGACTTCAGCAGTTCCACATGAGCCTCCCCAAGCGTTAGCCGTTGGACGTCCTTCGGAGGAAGATACAACTGACAGTACGAATTAGTTGTCGTTGAAATGAAGCCTGGCTTATTTGGGACATCAGCATAAAATCGCCACGCCTTGCAGTTGTCGTTGTCCATGGGAGAATTATTGACCTTCCTTAAGTTGAAGTGGTAGCTCGTCAGTGAGATGGGCTGCAAGTCCAGATACATGTCTCTGGATCTCACATCGATGAACATAGGATCTCGAGGCACGTACTCCATCGGCAGTGGGTGGTCACGGAACTGGTTAGCGTGCTGGTAGATAGTCTGGATGTAGTTCACGATCAGCTCAGCGACGACGCGATGGCCATTTGCATCGGGATGGATCTTGTCGCCCCAGGGCCAGCCGGGAAACCACGTGGCGTTGAAGTACTCCTGGGAAACCCGAGTTGGGAAAGGCCCTAATGCATCCAGCACTGCAAGTGGACAGACAAACATACGCATTCACAAGCAAAGGGTGGCAAGATCAGGGCTAATTAAAAATCATAGTATGCATGTATGTATGTTGTTACAGGGTGGTTAAGCTTCGCCAGCGGCCCCCTTTCCCGAGGCAGTTCCCTGCTCTCCCCTGCTAGAGGGGCACCCTAATCCGTTCACCCCATCCGACTTCAGAATGTATTCGTTGGGTTCAGCAACTCACCACCAGCATCCAACCAAATCTAGCGGATCAACGGCGCCTCAACAAAGTTCCTGGTCAGCTCGCAAGTTGATTGTATGCATATATGTATGTATGGATATATGATGTGTGGGACAGGGGAGTCACCTCTTCACCCTGTGACCGCTACCCAGCAGACCCTGCCTTCCCCGGTATTTCGGGGCACCCTCATCTAGTCACCCTAGCCAACTTATCAGTGGATCACTCAGGTTCCGCACCCACAACCGGCATTCTACAGATCGACGGCGGCTAAACTCCATTCCTGGTCAGCGCGCAGGTTAACTATATCCCAGGTCACCACCGTCCATCGGCTAGGGACACTTTTACCTTTCACCATCGGAAAAATTTTCGACCCTGACAGGTCTCGCAACCTCCGGGGGCATGTATGTCGTTACAGGGTGGTTAACTTCGCCAGCGGCCCCCTTTCCCTGGGCAGTGCCTGCTCTCCCCTGCTAGAGGGGCACCCTAATCCGTTACCCCTTCCGACTTCAGAATGTATTCGTTGGATTCGGCAACTCACCACCAGCATCCAACCAAATCTAGCGGATCAACGGCGCATCAACTTAGTTCCTGGTCAGCTCGCAAGTTGACTTTATCACGTCCTACATCGTCCGTTTGGTGGGGGGCCACCGCCCATTTCAACACTCCTTAAACACCCGAGGAGTCGGCAGGCGGATTTGAACCCGGGCCTTAACCTCTGCTATCCGCCTGCCTATATGAATGTATGCATGTGTGTATGCATGTATGTATGCATGTATATATGCATGTATGTATGCATGTATGTATGTGCGCAAAGCAGACGAACCTGAAACGATGGCCGCGCCATGGTGCTGGGCGACCGGCAACTGGGCGTACATGGCATCGCCTGTGCGCTCGAATGGCACACCGGACCTGCATGCGGCACGTGTTTATGAATCGTGAGCGACAGCTTGATGATGATGGGGTTTGGATGAATCGGTGACCAAACTGCAGTATGGGAGGGGCCTCCGTTGCGACGCCCTAGCACGGAGTAACACGGCCCGTCCTAAAAAACACCAGACCAGCTTTCATCCTTCTCTCCTTTTCGAGTTCTCTCCTTTGCGAGTTTCGTTCCCTTCCAGAGCTCACCAGAATCCAGAATAGCAGCGTGAGGATGGGATCACAAACATGGCAGCTGTGCCCGAGAATTTCCTCTGGGTACCAAGTTGTGCTTCTGACAAATCGTCTAGCTGGCGGTTGTTATTAGTTGCCATATCCAAGCGACGGGACTGTAAAAGCACCATCGACAGAAACGTCTCCTCTTCTCGGCTAGCAACATCACGTTCTAGGAGCTGATTGGCGGCAGTTTCTATCATAACGAGGTCCGACCCAAACAGCAGCTCCTCCTGCCGCCCAGCAAAGTAATCCATCCAATAGCGAGTCACTATGGAACCTTTTGCGAAAGCAGTGACCTGATGGCCGTTCGGGCCGCAGGGAAATGCTTCGTTAAGCATCTGCCCAACACGCTGGTGCCACAACACTGCTTTGGGAAGCATGGTATGGTTGAAATGCCCGTTCGACACGCTCCCACCTGGATCGATGGATGGATGGATGGGGTCAATGAACAGGATAAGCGGTTGACGGTGCTTAATAACTCAGCACGGCAGGATATTCACGGCATGAAAAATGCATATTTAAGCGAGTTAAGGGAAAAGGATTCTTTTGCTGTTCCAATATGCGTGAAAGGTTGGGCCAGCAGATGGACAGGCAAAGGTCAGGAAGAGCGACTATGCCAGTTATCGATAACATCAAAACATTATGCAGGGCAGGATTGTTCTAATTGCCTGAAATCTGAGCTGAGCCAGTCGTCGACCCAGTAGATAAGTGGCAATCCAGCTCGATTAACTGCCGTTGATTGCGGTCCGTTTTTACCCAGTTTGAACAAGAGGCTGGCACACCACTCGCACAAACGTACAGTCTGTCATGATCTATTTATCTGAAGACAAGTGTCAAAGTCGTCACGCAGACAGATAACTTACCAACGGCTGTGATGTTGAGGCATTGCCTTCGGCTCAGTTTCATAACTATTTTGGCGTACATGGCCAGGTCTCCATAGTTTGTAATTGCTCTAAATTTCTGATACGTCGTCAGGGGGTTGTAACTTGCGCCGGACAGGATGCTGAAGAAGCAAAGAATCAAAAAGAAGCGAAGCGGGTTCCGCACCATAGCTGCTGCTGCACCCCTCGCAGGGTGGTTCCCACTGGGACGCGGCTTGTTAGGTCACTATAAAGTTATCGGCGGACTAACAACAACTTAGCAAGCACTCATCGCCCCGAAACCAACTTCAGGGCATTTCCTTCATGAAACTGCACATTTTTGCACTTATTTTATGATCTGTCGAGCCGTTCTCTATTTTTATGCAATACTGCCTTACGTTTGTAATGCAACATGTATACGTCCCCTAGGAAGTCCTGTGGTCGCTGGTTTATCGAACCCGAATTTGTTTTGTGAGAACTGGAAATCGTGTACCCGAATATAAACTTTGTTCGTGGAGAATGTGTCAAAAATCTTCTGGCGATGTTTAGCATACGTCGTATTCCTGGCCTCGACCCCCAAATACCTTTTCTCAATCATATTTCTTAACTAAGCTCCTCAATAATTATTTGCTTAAATACTTTATGTTGATGATATCTTCAGCAAACCCCAAAGGCCTGACTTGGGCGTTTCGCTCGCTCACTGGACTGGCTAGTGACCCAGGAACGTGCTTATGCCCATGGTCCATACAGTCATACCAAGCATGCGCTTAATTAAAACTAAGTATGTTCCAGAAATTTGGGCGAAAATTCGCACAGATGTATTCCTACATACTTGAGGACAGCTGCCCGCACCGATAAGCTGCAATAAACATCCAAAGACATCGGTTCTATTAGTTTGCTGTTTTACTGTTAGCTTCCATTTCCAAGCCTTCCGCTGGACGCTTGTGCTGGTACTCGGCCATTAATGCTCGCCGTTTTAGGCCTCGCGGCCTGTAGCCGTTAGTGTCGAGCGCCACTCACTCGCCGCGCCACCGTTAAAAACCTCGTACCATATTATGATTTCCAGTTCAGCGTTCACTGTTTCCTAGGATTCCGTCCCCAATTTGCCCCTCTTTAGCCAGCCAACAGTTACACCGTCTGGGACTGGACATTAATGGTGCCAATAGGCTGAAATGCATAACTTGCAAAGCCAAGCCGGCAAGCGCGCAACGCCGCACAGGCAACTTAACCTCAGGCATGCTAGCCAGGCTGGGTGTAGGCATGGTTTTGGTACCGAGCATCACTTATTTACATGAAGGCATCTTATCTCGAAGCACACTGTGGCCGGAGCCAGGCCGCTTATTAGCACGCAAATTGACTTTAGTAAGGCGTTCGACTCCGTTGACCATGAGACACTTTGGGGCTTCCTCATGTCGTACGGGCGACACGGGCGCATCCTCGATTCTTTGAAGGCGATCTACGCTGGCGTGAAGGTTCGGGTCAAGTTGGGGAATACGTTGGGGCCTGAATACGGTGGGGCGTGGTGTGAAGCATGGGTGTCCCCTTAGCGTAACCTTTTTTGGACTCTTCGTAGAAATATTCGCTCATTACATTGATGCTCACGATGCTAATGGCCGTGTACGCCTTCCTAGCCGATGGAAGCGTCAGCGTGTCAGCAAAGGTGCAAGAAAGGGCTACCTTTGAAAAAAAGTCCTTCCTCCCGTCTACTGGACGGTCAAGATAATATCGGCATCGGCAAGGTTTAACCGCACAGGTATCGTACGCGTCTGGGTTCTAGACTGTCAGAGATGTCAGAGAAATAGCATGAAAGACATGCTATCCATAATCAGCATAGTTTTCAGGATGTTCACTACAACAAGCACCCTCCGCGGGCAGAGTGTTACCCTGGCCGGCGGTGAACTCACCAGCCTGCTTTTCGTTCACGAGGTGTCACTGGTGGCGACTGGGTACGATAGAGCAGAATGCCTTCTGGGCCTACTCGAAGCCTACTGCGAAGCGACGGGTATGGCCGTGAATGCCGCCAAGTGCGAGGTCCTCATTTTTTTGGGCGCTACACGTGAGCGGAAGCGGCTTATGGAAGCTGAGTACCGGTTAGGTGGGGTGGGGTTGCGGGTGCTGACCGGCAACGAGGCGGCACGGTACCTCGGGTTGCACTATGGCCCAGGAGTGCAGTTTTCAGCATGTACCAAGCAACTACTCGCAGCAGGGAGGCGGGCCACGTTTGGGCTTAGCACCCTGTGTCGAGATAAAAAAATTACCACCCCCAAGCTATGTAATTTCTCTCTACAATATACTAGTTGTACCGGTGTTTTCTTATGTTACAAATTACAAGTTACAAGTGCCGCACGAGTGCGGGGGGTGTTGTCCGTGAAAGCCTGAGGGGAGGCCATGGACTATATAAAAATTGAAAGTTGATTACAACGTACAACCGACGGCGGTTTGGGTCCTGCCAACTAGACCCCTCCTCATTCAGTCACCCGACATCCGTAGAGACAGATCAGCCGTCACCACCATCCCAGCATGCGAAACTTAGTCCATCAACTAGACCTCATCTCCACACCTCAGCAGCGTTAGGAAACCTAAACCTCCCGAACAGTGTCGGGGGGTCTAACCGGGGATTGAACCCAGAACCTTCATATACACAAAGGTGTCACCAGACTAGACAAAAAAACAAAATATCTTATTTTAGGCGTAGCCGAAAATGTGGTTTGAAGAGGGGCGTCAGAGCGGCGTCGTACGGTGCAGTTAGTTGGTTGTTGTTCTGAACTGCTATTTGATCGGCGGTGTTTAGTCTTGTCGAATTATCTTCCGGGCGATCTCGGACTCAGCTGCTAGTTGATACGAGCTCTCTTTACCAGAACAGCTGCTAGCTGCCGCGGTTATTGTCCGTTGGTCAGCGGTGTGAATTTGACGACCTTTTTCTTTCCCACCCGCCCACCCTTTCGAACTTTGGGTTCCTGGCTTGGTGAGAGGCCAGCTTTTAGTTTAGAGGCACGGGGGATGTTTCGCTGGGTTAGGCGTGGGGCCAAAGTAACCCAAGCGAGGCCGTCGGCTGCCTGCTGGTTACCAATGCGGAAGAGCACGGTAGCCCGGAAGGGCCGCACGAAGTAGCATGCGGGCTCTGGCAGGCAGGCTGGGCGTCTCTTATCCCCAACCATATGTCCACGTCCCCGGTGCCTTGTTCATATTAGTTGTACTGTAACGAACGCGTTTTGGGTTTCTCGTCCCGGTTCTTGGGCTGGCTAGCTGCTCAGCCCGGATTCAAAGTTGTGGAGCACAAGTATGAAATTATGTCTTCATATTGTGAGTTTGGAAGGTGCTATGACTAACCCCATGGTCCAGGAGCAGCGTGCGTATATCCAATCTGTAGTTGGGGCGAGGAGCCCGACTATGGCGTCCGTATACCGTGAACTGTCACAGAGGCCGCTCCAGTTCCATTGGACCAATCTTGTACTGAGGTTTTGGAACTCCGTGGTTAAGAGGCCGGGAACGCTGTGTCATCGGGCATTTGTCGCTGACCTGGAATTGGCACCCGGGGGCGTTACTGAGTGCTGGACAAGCAAGGTACTAGCCTTTCTTACTAGCTTAGGAGCGGAACCCCCCCTAATACACGCGGTGATAATCTTATAGCGTGTTACGCCACCCTTAAATTGCCAATTGAGAGCATTCTTAAGGTATTTGCCAAGCGGCTTGATGCACGGTGGTGGTGTCCGAATACCTTGGGTGACCCCCCCCCTTTTCCCCATAGGGATTACCGGAGCCAAGGCTTGTCGCTATATGAACTGGATGGGAGCTGCCCCGCCTAGGGGTGCACGTCTCGTTTGGTTGGAGCACACTAAAGTGACCATGCCCCAGCGACTGCATCAAGTGCTCATGTGTTTCCGGTTAGGCTGCTGGGAGTTAGAGGTTAATAGGCTTGATGGGCGTCAGCGCACCGCGCGTATCTGCAGGCTTTGTGACTGTGGAGCGGTTGAAGATGAGTTGCATATTTTTTATGAATGCCCCGCTTACAAGAGCATACGGGCTAAGTATGATGGTGACCTAGTCTTTAAGGGACGCAGCATGTGCACCATTGTTATGACTGAGGCGCTACCCCTGGCATTTGCCAGGTACCTCTCGGAAATCTGGGAGGCCAGGCAAGTCGCGCTGAGGCGCTTCACCCTGAAGCGGACGAGGGAGGATGATGATGGCCTCCCGTGTACCCGCATCAATAGCAGTATAACGTCCATGGCCCCCCGGCTTTTACGGACACACCCGCACTTGTGTGCGGAACTTATAACTCGTAACTTGTTTTAGACGCTGTCGCGCCCGAAGCACCGCCGCCGCCGCGCGCCACCGCGGTACACGGCGCCGAGCCGTGCAAGCTTTGGGAGCACTGCTGCAGCAGTGTGACCAGCAGCTCTGGCGGCGTGCAGGCCAGCGCGTCAGGATCCATCGCCAGCAAACCTGCTAAGAATTTCTGGGAGATGAGCACATGCCGCCACCAGGCTCCTGGGGCAGCAGGCCCGAGGACAGCTGCGACTGCGACTGCGACTGCTGATGTTGCGCCGGCGGCTGGCCACTGCCCCCAGCGGTGCCGCAGCTTGCGCCGCGTGCGCCGCCACCGCTTGCCGGCTTATCGCCCGCAAGCGCCCGCCGCTGCTGGTCCAATTGCGGGCAACAGCGGCCGCCTGCAGCGCAACGGCAGCTGGGTCGGGTTGAAGCAGCGCCGCCAGGACCACGTCCGCCAGACCCACAACGGTCGGCATCCGGGCCTCGGTACTGCTGCATTGCAGCATCCACTGCAACCCCACGTAGTACAACCACATGACGCGACGGCAAGCAACCAGGGCAACCTCCTCGCCGCCGCCGCCGCCGCCGCCGCTGCCCATAGGCAAGGCACAGAAACCCACAACCACTGGGGAATTTCCATTAGGCTCCCCGACTGGCGAAAGTCCTCCGACCCCCACTAGAAGGCCAACCAACAAATATTGACCGGGACTTGCACGTTGGTTTACTAGATGAGGCCTATGCCCCAAAAGCCGCCCAAATGAAAGAAACCGAAATAAAGAATTGGATCAGCTTGTAGTTAATCGTCCATCGGTGGCCGCTCCCGTGAACATAACAACTTGTCTGACAGAATTCGCAAGAAGGGATGATGTGACCCTACCGAATCCCATCCTTTCCGTGGAACTCCTAGAGCTGCAAAACCCCCAAGGCGGCCTTAAAGTCCAACAACTCGACTATGGTACCCGAGCTCAATGGCTAACACCGCAGCAAGAGCCAGCGAGGGGATCGCCCTCAGCGAAGGGATACCCCTCAGTGAACCAACTGCAAACTGCATTCCTGCGCTAATTTTTAGGGTCATCACGCGCGATCGCACACCACATGTCCACAAATTAACAATGATGGCAAGGCAAAGATCAGCTCCGTCCATTACTGCGCTTACGTCTGCCAAATAGTAACGCCTCTCAAAGACACGCAACTGCCTATCAGGTAGAACGAACAAATTCGTACTCGTTATCGCGATGCGATTACTCGTAATATGGCTTGCGTTTTCGGTGCTGCTGGTTAATCGTCTAAAACAGGGAAAATCCTAGAACTTTGACCTTATTGTTCTTTCGATTTGTGGCTCGGATGGTGAAGTCGAGTATCAAGCAGGTTCTATCATCCCGGGGCTGCGGTAGCTGGAAATTGAACACCTCGATTTTTGCTAGAGACACCGGCTCAGACCACAAGCAATCAACCGTATGAGATCCCAGTACGGAATTCGGTAAATCGCCTCTTGCGCAAGAAGTCCCGTCGCGTCCAGCCACTCCTCTGAAGATTGTGATGGCGACGGTGCCCATATGCATGTACGACTTCAGCAGTTCCACATGAGCCTCCCCAAGCGTTAGCCGTTGGGCGTCCTTCGGAGGAAGATACAACTGACAGTACGAATTAGTTGTCGTTGAAATGAAGCCTGGCTTATTTGGGACATCAGCATAAAACGCCCACGCCTTGCAATTGTTGTTGTTCCTGTTGTCCGTGGCCGTGGCCGTATTATTCACCTTCCTCGAATTGAAGTCGTAGCTCGTCACTGAGATGGGCTGCAAGTCCAGATACATGTCTCTGGATCTCACATCGATGAAAATAGGATCTCGAGGCACGTACTCCATCGGCAATGGGTAGTCACGGAACTGGTTAGCGTGCTGGTAGATAGTCTGGATGTAGTTCACGATCAGCTCAGCGACGACGCGATGGCCATTTGCATCGGGATGGATCTTGTCGCCCCAGGGCCAGCCGGCAAACCACGTGGCGTTGAAGTACTCCTGGGAAACGCGAGTTGGGAAAGGCCCTAATGCATCCAGCACTGCAGGTGGACAGACAAACGTACGCATTCACAAGCAGGGTGGCAAGATCAGGGCAACTTAAAAACCATAGTTAAAAGCGAGGCTAGTTAAAAGCTAATTATTGCTAATCATCGCAGCCGGCGGAGGTTACATTGGAGAGGGCACATTGTAAAATATTGAAACGGAGCGCGCTTTGGAAGTAAGTCAGCAGAGGGCAAACTGGCGCTGAATCATCTTTATCTAGGGAGACAAAGGGGCGTTCGCGCTGCTGGCCGTGCACGTGAGATAACTGGTCACGTAGCCGCAGCACACGGCACAGACACAGACACAGACACAGACACAGGGAGACATCCCCCTGCTCCCCCAATGGGGGAGGAAGTCTCTGCAGCTTGCCATATACACGTATATGCGAATACGGACCCAGACACTCTCTGTGGACTCGTTATGTCGCCAAGCATGCATGTATGCATGTATGGATGTATGCATGTATGCACGTATGCATGTATGCACGTATGCATGTATGCACGTATGCATGTATGCACGTATGCATGTATGCACGTATGCATGTATGCACGTATGCATATATGCATGTATGCACGTATGTATGTATGTATGCATGTATGTATGTTCTTCCCCCTGCTCCCCCGTCCATCGGCTAGGGGCACTTTTACCTTCCACCATCGGAAGGATTTTCGACCCTGGCAGGTCTCGGAACCTCCGGGGGCATGTATGCATGTATGTATGTGCGCAAAGCAGACGAACCTGAAACGATGGCCGCGCCATGGTGCTGGGCGACCGGCAACTGGGCGTACATGGCATCGCCTGTGCGCTCGAATGGCACACCGGACCTGCATGCGGCACGTGGTGACCAAACTGCAGTATGGGAGGGGCCTCCGTTGCGACGCCCTAGCACGGAGTAACATGGCCCGTCCTAAAATACACCAGACCAGCTTTCATCCTTCTCTCCTTTGCGAGTTTCGTTCCCTTCCAGAGCTCACCAGAATCCAGTATAGCAGCGTGAGGATGGGACCACAAACATGGCAGCTGTGCCCGAGAATTTCCTCTGGGTACCAAGTTGTGCTTCTGACAAATCGTCTAGCTGGCGGTTGTTATTAGTTGCCATATCCAAGCGACGGGACTGTAAAAGCACCATTGACAGAAACGCCTCCTCTTCTCGTCTAGCAACATCACGTTCTAGGAGCTGATTGACGGCTGTTTCTATCATAACGAGGTCTGACCCAAACAGCAGCACCTCCTGCCGCCCAGCAAAGTAATCCATCCAATAGCGAGTCACTGTAGAACCCCTTGCGACAGCAGTGACCTGATGGCCGTTCGGGCCGCAGGGAAATGCTTCGTTAAGCATCTGCCCAACACGCTGGTGCCACAACACTGCTTTGGGAAGCATGGAATGGTTGAAATGCCCGTGCGACACGCTCCCACCTGGATGGATGGATGGATGGATGGATGGATGGATGGGGTTAATCAACAGGATAAGCGGTTGGTGGTGCTTGATAACTCAGCACGGCAGGATATTCACGGCATGAAAATTGCATATTGCATATTTAAGCGAGTTAAGGGAAAAGGGTTCTTTTGCTGTTCCGGTATGCATGAAAGGTTAGGCCAGTAGATGGATAGGTAAGGCTCAGGAAGAGCGACTAGGCCAGCATATCGATAACATCATAACAATGCATGCAAGTCAGGATTGCTCTAATTGCCTGAAATTTGAGCTGAGCCAGTCGTGGCCCCAGTAGATAAGTGGCGATCCAGCTCGATTAATTGCCGTTCATTGCGGTCCGTTTTTACCCAGTTTGAACAAGAGGCTTGCAAATCGCTCGCACAAAATTACACTCTGAAATTATCTAATTATTTAACGGCAACTGGCAAAGGCGTTACGCAGACAGATAACTTACCAACGGCTGTGATGTTGAGGCATTGCTTTCGGCCCAGTTTCGTAACTATTTTGGCGTACATGGCCAGGTCTCCATAGTTTGTAATTGCTCTAAATTTCTGATACGTCGTCAGGGGGGTGTAGCTCGCGCCGGACGGGATGCTGAAGAAGCAAAGAATAAAAAATAAGCGAAGCGGGTTCTGCACCATAGCTGCTGCTACGCCCCTTGCAGGGTGGTTCCCACTGGGACGCGGCTTGTTAGGGCACTGTAAAGTTATCGACAGGCTAAAAAGAACTCAGCAAGCGGCCGTTTCCACTTACCGCCCCGAAACCAACTTCAGGGCATTTCCTTCATCATGAACAATGTGGCTTCATAAAACTGTACGTTTTTTGCACTTATTGTGTGATATATAGAGCCGCTCTCTATTTTCATGCAATGCTGCGTTACGTTGGCAATGCAACACGTATGCGTCCCCTACGAAGTCCTGTGGTCGCTGGTTCATCGGAGCCGAATTTGTTTTGTGGCACCTTGAAATGTTATAACATAAATAAATTTATTTATGAAGAATGTGTTGAAAATCTTTTGGCGATGCTTAGTATGTGTTGTATTCCTGGGCTCGACCCAAAAATAGCTCTCCTCAATCAAATTTCCCCGCTTTTATTTTGGGTTGTTTGATTAAATATATGATACTGGATGATATCTTCAACAAATCCAAAAGGCCTGACCTGGACGTTTCGCTCGTTCGCAGGACTGGAGTCAAAGCGATGACCCAGGAACGTGCTTATGCCCACGGTTCCATACAGTCATACCAAGCATGCGTTTTTAAGTAGAATTGTTTGTTTCAGAAATTCTGTGCGTACATTCGCACAAATGTATTCCTACATGTTTGACAGCTTGCCAAGACAGCTTCCCGCACCGATAAGCTGCAGCAAATATCCAAAGACATCCGTTCAATTAGTTTACTGTTTTACTGTAAGTATCCATTTTGATTATGGCAAGCCTTTCATTGAACGCTGGTGCTGGTTCCCGGCCATTAACACAGTTCTATTGGCAGATAATGTGTCCCCTGATGCACCCCGCCATCCTACCATGAGATTGGCATCTAATTAAATGCGTGTTCTGCTTTCGTCGCTGATAAAGGCCTCACGGCCTGTAGCCGTCAGTGTCCAGCGCTACTCAGCGCCACCGTTAAAAACCTCGTACCATACTACGATTTCCAGTTCAGCGTTCACTGCTTCCTAGAATTCTGTCCCCAATTTGCCCCTCTATAGCCAGCCAGAAGTTACACCATCTGGGACTGGACATTTTAATGGTGCCAATAGGCTGAAATGCATAACTTGTAAAGCCAAGCCGGCAAGCGCGCAACGCCGCACAGGCAACTTAACCTCAGGCATGCCGCCTATCGCCCCGTCCTATGCCGTGTGCACTACCTGCTGCGAGGCGCTGTTAGATGGAGTCACCGCCAGCTTGCTGTATCGGCACGCATCCATGCGCCTGGGGCTAACTTTCCAATTGTTTGGCACACGGGATGTTAGCGACCTAAGCCCATCTACACATCCCCCAAGAACCCTCACCATGCTTTGCTGCGTGGACCAATCCACGCCGCTTTGGGAGGACGGATCTGCACAAACCTCCCACGTACAAGTCACAGGCCCGAGGTGCCCTTCCGAACGCGCCCCAGCGTAATCTTACCGTCCTCGACTGCCTGACGTTTTGCCCGCCAGTATGTTTGTCACTGAACCAAAGTTCAAGAGAAGCCGCCCGACAATCGTCCCCATTCGCCACCCGCCACCCACCCCCACATGCCTGCACGGCCGCATTGACGACCCCAAGCATGCTCCCCACCTCCTCCTGCTGCTGCTGCTGCTGCTAGACTGTAACTGGCGCCAGGTGGCAGCATCAACTAATCGTCTGGGTCTGCATCTTCCTCACTTCCTCTTCTCTCACCAACCACCCACGCACGTGCATAATCCGTAACCCGAATCCCTTCAACCTCCGGAATCCAACCTTGGTACCCTGCGTTTTTAACCTATCGCACTGCGCAAGCCTCCATAACAAGTGAACACCCTATTTGCACTGCCAATCCAGCAACTCCTTAATAGTCCTCGTTTTAACCCATCACACCGTATTAGCACACCACAGACACCGTCGACACCATACATACGCATGCCTGCTGCCCAGCCGTGACTGGAACCTGCCGGCACCGTCAATTACCTGTGCAAAATCAGGTGCAGCTAGGTGAAGCACACTCAGCCGTGGCCTGTTCAGGCTTTTGACGCCATATCTGTACTATGATGACCTTCATCTGCCTTCCTGTGACATGGCAGAGGCTACTACTTACCGGCCAGCTGAAATTGTTATCATGGAGCACCATCGGAACTCTAGCGCCTCCTTGAGCTGCTGCTTGCAATGCCACCGTACGCGCATTGTATGTGTTCCGCCATTACTTGACCTATGTTTACCTTTTGTTTGCGACTCTGAAAAGAATTCGCTCGCTCCTGGCTCAGCCTTGCCATATACACACACGGCTAGTCGACCACCCAGAGGCAGTACCCCGCTCCCTTACTACCAATATCCCCTGCTGCTGGGACGAAGAAGACGCAACCAACGCCGAGAGCGGCGCATTCCAAAAACAGATGACGTAAGAATGAAACCTATCTAATTGAACAAGGCGCCATGGAACTCAACCCTCAGCCAGCTGGATGTATATGACCCGACCGTGGCATGTCGGGAAACCCGGCAGCGGTACATGCTCCATAGCCCTTGGGTGGAGCCCACTTGGTATTGACAGACAGACAAAATCGCCGACAAAATCGCACCCAGGCCGAAAGATACCCCTGTGTGTATTCGGGTGCACGGAGCACACACCCCAAGACGCGCATTGGTGCCAACCCCAGGAAAGAAAGGCGCATCCGACATCCCCCGACGGCCCAGGAAGAAACGCTTCCGAGCGAGCAAGCGAGCTGGGCCTGGTCCACGGAGGACAGGAAGACCCCACCCGGGTGCTGGGCATGCTCGGCCCATACCACGCGGCCTCACCCTGCGCCGCGGCCGTCCCTGAAGCTATGCACAAAGCTGTGCTGTCAAGTCCCACAGTATTACGAACATACAGGGAGCCCGCATACTGCATACTGCCGCCGCCCTCACGTCGCGCTCCGCCGGGGCTGAGCTCACCCGGAAGCCCGCGCTGGTTGTACCTCGCGAACATTTCCCGCAGTACTCTAAAAACAGCATCCCGGTCGTAGTCTGGCCGGCTGGAGGACCGGAGTACAGACAGACAGACAGACAAACAGACAGATAGACAGACAGATAGGCAGACATGTCGACTAGCTTGCTGGCAACCCGGCTATCCGGTACGAAAGCCGCGAAACCGCGCGTGACTGCTCGGGGGCCGGGGGAAGGAGATGCTGCTGGTGTGCGTGTGCGTGTGTGTGTGTGTGTGTGTGTGTGTGAGAGAGAGAGAGAGAGAGACTGACTGACTAGACGTGATCCACGTTGAGCATGGTGCGCATTTGCAGGTAGGGGTTGTCCAGCAAGCGCTCGTCGTTGAGCTGCTGCGCCGTGCCGATGATGTGCCGCAGCGTGCGCCAGAACTTGTCATGTTGATTGAGCATCCAGTGTTTCAGCAGGTAGACACCTGCAAGGTGCACACCGCCCAAAACACAGAGTTAGCAGTCTCGGGGCCCATGAGGGACGAATACGAGGCAGCCAACGGGGAAGGTAAAAGAGGCCAAAGAGGCCAAAGAGGCCAGTGGCAGTGCCGATTGTGGATGGGTGATGTTGCAATCAGCCAATGCAGTTGAGGGACTAGGGGGGACTAGGAGATCTCTCTATATGAGCCCGCGTATGCATCCGCACGCCGCAGTGTGGCCTGGGCAGCGCACCCCACCCCACCCCACCCCACCCCACCCCAGCCCTCCTCACTTCCAACACATCCGGTTCCGCACCTACCTGCGTAATACCGACACCTCAAGTCATCGCATCCGAGCTGCGCCTTGACGACATGGGACAGAGAATACTTGGCAAACGCCTGCGTCCGGGAAGCACGAGAACGCGAACGGCCGGCTTGCAACCATAGCATATGGGTAAAGGCCCAATGTGGATATCATCGCACCTCATCCCCGCGACTTATCCTCGTGTGAGAAGAACGCCGGCACAAACTCCCGTTCGCCGTCTCGCTGCCCAGAACCGGCCATTTGGGCTAACAACCCCTTCGTTAACACCCCCTCCCGCGTGACATCGTCGAGGATTCCTCATGTGTGCGTGTGTGTGTGTATGTATGTGATATCTGCAAGCCCTTCCAGTGTTACCGACAGCCGCCGATCGCCACATTACCGCCTGCCAGCGCTTACGGTGGCCCGAACTAATTCCACCGCGTCCACTGACCAAAAAGATTTTTACATGCACAGATATACGTAACAGGATATACATACGGCTCATGCTTGCATGAGCATGCATGAGACACCGGCCATGCTTTGGCGCGTCATGCGCCTGAGCCATAAATCCCACATAAGGAAGCATGGGAAAAGCACGTGAATCAGGTCACAATGCCGCCACAAACTCGCCACCAGCTTTCTTCCTACAACCCAGGCGCACCTCCGGATCCATCGAACACCGCGCAATGAGCAGCAGCAGCAGCGCCAGCCTCCTGTCCTGCCAGTCGTCCTGCCACGGGCCCACGGCCGCGCCATACAGCGTACCCTCCCAGCCACCGCCGCCGCCACCGCCGCCGGCACCACCGCCGCTGGCACGCAAAGATGCGGTCCCGGAGCCGCCGCCGCTGCCGCCATCTCCAGAGCCCGCCGCTGCGACCGCCGTCACCGCAGCTAAGTCGATCACCATGCAGGGGCGGCCCAGGAATCCGCGGTGCATGCTGCGGAAACCCGCCTCGCCGCCGGGACGCTGCTGCCCAGAGGCTTCGTCACCCGCATGTTCGCCTTGCCTTTCCGTCGTTTTCGGCGCTGCCGCGCCCGAAGCACCGCTGCCGCCGCCGCGCGCCACCGCGGTAGACGTCGCGGAGCCGTGCAAGCTTTGGGAGCACTGCTGCAGCAGTGTGACCAGCAGCTCTGGCGGCGTGCAGGCCAGCGCGTCGGGATCCATCGCCAGCAAACCTGCTAAGAATTTCTGGGAGATGAGCATGCCGCCACCAGGCTCCTGGGGCAGCAGGCCCGAGGACAGCTGCGACTGCGACTGCGACTGCTGATGTTGCGCCGGCGGCTGGCCACTGCCAGCTGCGGCGCCGCGGCTTGCGCCGCGTGCGCCGCCACCGCTTGCCGGCTTATCGCCCGCAAGCGGACCAGCTGCTGCAGCAGCGGCCGCCTGCAGCGCAACGGCGGCTGGGTCGGGTTGAAGCAGCGCCGCCAGGACCACGTCCGCCAGACCCACAACGGTCGGCATCCGGGCCTCGGTACTGCTGCATTGCAGCATCCACTGCAACCCCACGTAGTACAACCACATGACGCGACGGCAAGCAACCAGGGCAGCCTCCTCGCCGCTGACCCCCGCCGCCGCCGCCGCCGCCGCCGCTGCCGCCGCCGCCGCCGCCGCCGCCACTGGACCGTGCGGTGTCGCCGCTGCAGCGCCCACCGCCGCCAAACGCGGCGAAAGCGACCCTGCTGCCGCGTCTGCGGCACCGCCGCCCCCAGACGTAGCGATAGCCTTGAGGTCCGCGACCGTGCGGGTGACGGCCGTCATCAGCAGCTCACAGCCCTTAGGCGCCTCCCGCACGACGTGCAGCAGCGCATCGGCGAGTGCGGTATTCCAAAACGTACGCGGGCCCAAGCTGGGCGCTGTGGCTGCCGCGATCTTGCTTGCCTCTGGCGACGTCTTGAGGGTAAGCGGGGAGAGCATCAAAATCTGACCTTGGCAGGCGCGGCAAGCCGCGGACAGAAGCTGCGGGTAAGGAGGGCGGGGATCGGAGGCAAGCCGAGTACACGGTCATGTTGGGGGCTGGAAGGAAGGCGACCGCGCATGATTTCGACACAGCGAAAACATATGGGGGGGGAGGGGGAGGGCGAACGGGGGCTGTGAAGTCAAGAAGGGAAACCAATTTTGCCGATACGTCCATTAAGCTGCAAACTGCAAAGTGGAGAAGTCTCCAACGGGGGCCGCCGTCCTTAAACTGGGGAGCTAGCTAGCTGGGCTGGGAAGCTAGCGCGGGGGCGCCTGCGCCATGCCGTAATAGCGGCTGTGGATGCGAGCTGCCTCCAGGCTCGGGCAGGGCCTGTCATGCCCCTCGACCCGGGGGAGTCAGACAACCCGCGCTTTATCGTATACTGCTCCACTCGTGTGGAACAGTATGGGGCACTGGTACCGGCTTGACCCTCAGAAGCAGCTTATCTCTCTCTTCGGTCTGGACGAACCTTATATGAATATGAATATGAATATTAATCCATTGACAGAAGAAATCAGGGTCAAGGGCCAAGGGCCCAGGGTTCACCTTTTTATTAGTGTTCAAGGGGCTCGACACACAGACTCAACGCACCTTGTGTAGCCATTGGATGGCCACCTCCCGGGAGCTGTCAGCTGTGCACACGTCCTTGAAGCGCCGCCACGCCGCTGCCACCGACGCCGCCGTCACTGGCGGTAGAGCAGCGGCGTCGACGACGCTGGCGCTGCCGGCAATGTGCGCCACGCTGACGTCTATGTGCATACGGAGCTCCCCGACCTGATGTGGGGGGTGGGAGCATGGGCGGCAAACGCAGAAGGGGGCCATGTGGATGGAACTTAGGGAAGCGCAGCTGCAATATATGCGTCGGCTGCATCGGCTGCATTGGCTGCATTGGCTGCATTGGCTGCATTGGCTGCACGCTTATTTCAAGTCGACACCAGTCCTGCCTGCCAAGAGCCCGGGCGGGGATGATGTCGTAATGACCCAAATGATGACCCATGCGATGAACAACAACAACAAGGAAAAGAACCGTGACCCAACTCCAAACCCGTGACCCAACCGGCTTGACGATGGAAAGGGGGGTCATGGCAGTGCTACAAAACGCACGCCACCAGTTCTTCCCGCTTCATGCACCCAGCCACGCATCACCACCCCACCAACCACCACCACCAGCCACGCAGCCACATTCACCTACCCCCCCCCTCTGCGTCCATGCACCCAGCGCACCGGCGGTAAGGTCATGCTCTCCACGCAGCACGCCTCCAGGTTCTCCAACAACGGCCGCAGCAGGGCCCGCACGGCGATGGGGGAGGCCACGCCCGCGGGCAGTGTGTGCACAGCGGACAGCGGGTACTCGGCGGATGTGGAGACGGAGGCGGTGGGCGACAGCGGATTGATGGCGGCGACCCCCAGCTCCATGTTTCCGCTGGCCAAGATGTCGGCCAGGCGGCTGGACATGCCCTGGTGTTGGGGGCAGGGAGTGGGGAAAGACGAACCACACACGATTGAAGCTGCTGCCAGGGCAAGAGAGTAGGCAGGGAGTGGGGGGGGGTGTTGGTCGTGTGATCGGAAAGCAGTCGGTGGGTTGAAGCATTAATGTCCCTGGGGGGAAGGCTCCCTGTTATTCCACAACACCCCTTTAAGAACCCTCTAGAACCCGTACTGCTCCGAGTACTGCTCCGGCCTTTACTGAATATGCTTAGGCAAATGTTAATACGTCAGATCCGACTTTGGCCAGTTCCCTACGGCAGGCATCGATAATGACCGTCGGCCCCCCCTTCCAGCATGTACGCGTACACGTACGCGTACACCTACACGTACACGTGTAGGCGGCTCATAACATCGCAACACAGATCATGAAAACATCTCGGCACATGTAGGCCCTCGCGAAACACCCCCCTCACACAGTACTTTTCCTTTTCGCGTGCTTCAAACATGCACATAGACAGAGGTCAACTCCTCCTCACGTGCACTGGCCACATGTCGCATACCTTCTCACTTTGGGATTGGCCTGTCGGGCATATTCACCATAGACGCACCTGCCAAGGCCGCTCCAAGGCCGCCCGCAGCGCTAGGCAAACGCTGTCGAGATGCAGGCCCTGGAAAGCTGATAACACTCCCGCCGGGCCGCTGCCGCTGCCGCCGCCGCCGCTGTCCGGCGCCCGGCTGCCTGGGCTGCTGCTGGTGCGAGGGCTGCGTGCGCCATGCAGCTCCCGCGCGTGCAGCTCGCCGCTGCAGCTCACAGGCGTGGACGATCCCGCGGAGCAGCCGCCGCCGCCGCCGCCGCCGCTGCTGCCGGGTCCCTCGGCGCAGCACTGCACCAGTGCAACCATCAGCGACGCGCGCGAGTCGGGCGTGGGCGCCCGGACAAAGTGGAACAGTAGCTCCTGCATTCCGCCAAACTCGCCAAGGCGGCGCCGTACCTCCGCAGCCTCTGCAGCGCGCTGCGTCGCCACCGTCATCGCGGCGTCATCGGCGGCGGCGGCTGCCACCGCGGACTTGAGTGCGGTCGGGGCCGCGAAGGCGCTGTTCAGCGGCTTCTTCACTCCAGCCCCGGCGGGGCCCGCCGCCGGAGGCGGCGGCACCGCCGCCGCGGCCGCGGGAGGCGCCGTCGTGTCCACGGGCCTTGCCAGCACACATGGCACCAACTTGAGCAGCTGCGCGTACAGCTCCAGTGACCAGTTGAAGTTGCAGGCGACACGCAGCAGGCAGGACAGTGCCGACGGCGGAAGGTGCTGCACCCAGGCGGTGACCCAGTAGCCGCCATGGCTGCACATCTGCGCCAGGCAGCCCATGGCTGCACGCCAAACCTCGCCCGAGGTCTCCTCCATCTGCGCGCGTGCGTGCACGGACACACACGGAAGGTTAATAAAAACACGCAAAACATTCAAAGTTGAGATATCCCTTAACAACTTAACTTGTTCCATAAAATAAATCTTGGATCCAGGAGACTAGGTCCCTTCCATAATTCATCAGGCAGCGACAGGCTTTATTTAAAGTAAGTCACGCGAGGGGCAGGGGACGGGGAACCACGTTGCCAGCAATCGTCCTCAGCTAGGCAGGTGCCAGTTCACAAGCCAGGCTAGGCAAAAGCCTGATCGCAACCCAACCCGACCCAGTCTCACAGAGGAGTTGCCAGAATCATCATAGTGCGCCCTTCCCCACCCCACCCCATCCCACTCCACCGTGCTCACGCGCCCGCACCTGTCGCAACTCAAACAGAAGTCGGAAAAGCAGCGCCCGCAGCCACCGATCGTACCCTATCGCCGCGCCGCCCGTCGTGGTAGCCGACTCTCCGCTGGCGGCAGTCGGGACGCCGGCCGCCGCGCTACCAGGCGCCGCTGCCGCTGCCGGCGCCGTCTGCCGGCCCGGCGACATCGCCGGGGACGGCGGCGGCGGCGGCAGCCGCACCACCTCCCCCGTGTCTTTCCGCACGTGATGCGGCGGCTTCGCTGGCCCATCGTCAAAGACATTTGACGCGGTGCGCGAGCCCACTGGCGCCGAAGCCATACCGGAAAGCTCCCCGACGGAGTCCAGCAGGGTGCTGCTATGAAGGGCAAGGCTATGCGATGAGACGCGATGGTGAACCGACTTGGCAGCGCTGCCACCAGAAGCAGCGGTGGGCGTCAGCAAGGGATCTGCAGCGGAAGGAGCTGGTGTCAGTGGAGCCCCTCCCTTGGGCACCGGGGGAGGTGTCTGAGCGCCGCCGCCGCCGCCGCCGCTGCCGACAGCGCCGCCGCCGCCGCCGCCGCCGATATCACCACCGACAACCCCGCCTCCAGCGACGCGGCCGGAGGTGAAGGGCGACACCGGGACCGATGCACATACCTGCGGAGGGGAGGGAGCGCGGCAAAAGACACAGCAACGCGTCGCAGGCGTGTGCGAGGATGGAGAGCGGAAGGGAGGGAGAGAGGGAGATAACAGCGGCAGATGCTTGTAAAACGCATTCCAAAAATATATAGCGGACTATGAGCACAGCATATCAGCACATCATCATCAGGTTGTGTGCAGCGTGCAATTTCCAAGAAGGACCGCCTGAAGCCGCGAACACACAAAACACCGCGTTCACGACTATATAACATCGAAAATAATACAAATAAACGCAAACGCAGACGTCTAGGGAGCGTCCTGAGAGCGGAAACAAGGCCTAAGACGGCGTAGATGCATACAAGCGGCTGGACGGAAGCTCAAGGGTGAGAGGACGTCATGGTCATAGCGCCTTCGCCCTGAAGGTCCAGCCGACAGCTATGTTCCCCTACCTAGTAACACACCCCAGGCTCCATGAGGCGGTACGTTTTCCTTACTCATTTAAAAATGAGTACACCGCGTCCCCACCTGCCAGGGCATTTGCAAGCGGCCGCTCGGGCCGTTGGCCGCCTCCACCGACGCAACAGCCAGCGCTGACTCCTCTGCCTCGGTGCGCAGCATGGCCCCGTGGATGTACAAGTTGTACAGCACGTCAAAGGCGCGCGCGCGGGTGGAGGGCTGCGTGCTGCGCAGCGCACGGCACAGCATGCGCAGAACGACGATGAAAAACTCCTGCGGCTCGGACCGCAGCCACATGTCGACCAGCAGCTTCATCAGAATGCCGCCGCAGATCTGGGAGGAAGGGAAGGGTGCGGCCGGCCGGACGTGCAATCGGGAGAGCAAAAGCGCGTTGTTGGAGGAGCACGGAGCGATGGCGGGATGGCAGGGTAGGCCGTGTGTGGGCGGGCGGTCCGGGCTGGCGGAGGAAGGTAAGACGAACCACAGACGAGTGATGCGAATACGACAAATAGACGGACTCTGCATCAGGAAATCGTAAGCAGATACCGACAAGTAGTAGCGACTTGGGTAGTAGCCATCGCGGCGACGTGGCCAGATAAGTAAAGTAACGAGTACCTAGCTGCCAGTGGCTATCTAGATGCCGAGATGAAGGAGACAGGTGGTAAAGAAAAAGCGGAAAAGCAAAGGAACCCGGCGGAAGGAAGCGGAGGAGGGAAGCGCCAAAAGCGTGTCGCAAAAAGACGGTAAGAGACGCAACGGCCGCCGCCGCTGCCGCAAGCCCCGCGCACGTCGTCCTCCCAGTACTGCCACCCCGGCACCAGTCAGACACACACCTGGCCGAACTCCTCGTCTTCCTCAAACGCTGCCTGCCACATGCCCTCCGGCTGCCCCGCCGCCGCCGCCGCCGCGGCCGCCGCCGCCGCTTTCGCCTCCTCCGCTGCCTTCGCCTCGCGCACCGCGAGAGGCCCCATCACCGCCGCCATCGCGCTGGCTGCCCGCACGCCACACACCGCCTCCACCACTACTGCCACGTCGGCTTCACCCATAAGCAGCGGCTCCGAGCGGTTATAGGGCGGGTGGTGGAACAGCAGGCGGGGAGGCCGGGACCGCCGTCCGCCGCCTGCGCCGTCACGTCCAACGCCGCCCGCACCGCCGCCGCCGTGCGCGGCTCCGCGGCCGCGGGGTCGCGGCCGTGGCGCCGCCGGCTGCAGTTGCTGCGCCTGCACGATAGGGCGTGATGGCGGATAGAGAAGCACCTGGGCGCATGCAGGTCTGATCGAAGCAGGTCATGTGGACGGCCAGTGAGAACACATAGCCGGAAAGGATTCTTCCGCTGCGCTCGTAACCTGATTCCTATGCATACCCGGGCCCCATCAAACGCTTCTGGCAGTGGGCTGCGTTCTGTTTCGCCCGAAAGGCGGTGGGCGGTGGGGCACAGGGCGGCGAGGCTGTGTGGTACATGACACCGCCGTGTGCCGTTGCACCATGGACCCCGGGTGCAGTGCGCCGGTACGGTGGGCGGCTCTGGCAGTCTGCTTGGTTTCACACGGCAAGAGGTGGCCAACGAAGTTGCGTTAGGCTACAGCTCCACAGTGCTGCTACTGCTACTGCTACTGCTTCGTGGGCTGCTTAGGCGCCTTAAGGCCGCTCAGGCCAAGCACTTCCGGCCAAGCTGGGGGGGGCATCGTGCGTGCCGTTAAAGCATCAAACGCGGGTATCCCGTAGCTTGGCTAGAGAGATACTTACGGCCAGCCGGTGGTCACCGTTGCCGACAACGGCAATGACAAGTGGCATTCCAAAGGACCTCGCTCTGATACACCCGCGGCCCGACATACACCCGAAACAGACACCGAAAGCATTGTCGTGTACCGTTAATGTCATGTATGTTAGTCGTGTTATATATATACATATATATACATATACATACATATATATACATATATATACATATATACATATATATACATATATAGCATATATATAGCATATATATACATACATATATATGCTGGTAAGTTTATACGAAACCGTGTGACGCTGCCCGTGTTGTTGTTCCTGCAGCTAAGCTGGTTGGTACGGGTGTTAGCTGTGAGTTCTCACTTGTGGTGGCCACAGCAGTGGTGACGGGTGGCGAAAAGCCGGATTCTTAGTCCGCGGTGTGTCACACACACATACGCACACACACACATACACACGCACACATACATACACACACACTCGCATACACACACACGCGCCCTCAGCGCAAGCAGGCCACACAGCCAGGCGCACCTCGACTCGCGCTTCCCCGAGCAACTCCGCGATGTGTCGGCCGATGTCCGGTTCCTCCAGATCAAGCACACAACGGTGAATGGTGGCCAGGCTAATGGGTGGAGCTCCAGACAAAGACAGCGACACAGCAGGGGCCGGCGGCAGCACGGCGGAGCCGCCGCCCGATCTCGACTCCCGAGGCGCCGAAGCTGGGCAGGCAGCAAATCGGCAGCTAATCAACGTACAGGGAAAGCATCCCAAAGCCCAACACAAAAATGCTCTCAAAATGCTCGCACGAATACACGCGGGTCAAGGTGCATGCTAGCCGTCGCGGCAGCGGCACAGGGGCTGGCGCTCGGCAGGGCACATTCCCAAGGGCGGTTAAAGAGCACTATATTCCAAGCACGCAGCACGGCCGGGACAGCTCGGCCAGAGCTTGGCAACACAGGACCGCCGAGCTGTTGGGTTGGCCCTGGGTCTCCTCGAGTGCGGAAGTGCTTCAGCAAAGGACACAAGGTGGCCCCTCAGTGCGACAAAACCCCTCAGTGACAGCACACCGCCGCCGCCGCCGCCTCTCGCCTCTC